ACATGAAGGCCCCAGGTTTCGACAGCATCCTAAATCTGGAACTCAAACACTTGAGTTCCAGATTCTACAACCATCTGGCACTGATTTTTAATCTTTTTTAATTTTTAAAGACTTGGCTACTTCCCTTCAAGCTGGAAGTCAGCTAAAGGATCCGTCCTCTCCTCCAAGTTATCGACCAATCAGCCTTCTCTCAGGGTTATCAAAACTGTTCGAAAGAGCAGTCTACCACCAGCTCCTAACATCTGCCGAAGAAAACAACTTGTTACTCGAGGAACAGTTTGGTTTTCGGAAAGGTCGTTCGACCGTCCACCAGCTGACTCGAGTAACAAACTGAGAATTCTGTTTCGAAAACATCTGCTATGGCATAGCTGGACGTTGAAAAAGCGTTCGACAATGTCTGGCATGATGGCTTGGTGTTCAAATTGCAGCACTACGGTCTTCCAATCATCCTAGTGAAGATAATTAACAACTACCTATCGAACAGGACGTTCCGAGTCTCTCTGAATGGCATCACATCGGATGCTTTCAACATCGGTACTGGGGTTCCACAAGGAAGCATCCTTGGCCCCATTCTATTCAACCTGTTCAACTCCGATATGCCGGCTCTCCCTGATGGTGGATCGTTGTCTCTGTTCGCAGATGACACATCCATCGTCTACAAGGGTAGGGTCATGGGAGCTCTGACTGCCAAACTTCAGAGAGGCCTGGACGTCCTGTTAGAATATTTCAACAGCTGGAAGATCCGTATCAACGCGGCAAAGACCCAGGTCATCATATTTTCACTCTCTAAATCTCCCAGACTTGTTCCGTCGGTGAATAATAAGATCTGCCTGAACGGCACAGTGGTGGAATGGTCGAAAGAGGTAGTCTACCTCGGCTTAACACTAGACAGCAAGCTGATTTTCAGGGAGCACGTCGACAAAACTAAAACCAAGTGTAACATCTTGATAAGATCACTTTATCCACTCATCAACAGGAGGTCCACTCTATCCCGTAATAGAATACGGAATGCCAATCTGGGAGAGTTGCGCTAAATGACATCACCTTAAACTTCAAAGGATCCAGAAGAAGATCCTTAGGATAGTCTCCCGCGGATTAGAAATTCTGAGATCCACCTCCTGGCTGGAATTCAAACATTAGAAGAACGTGTGTTATCAGTTCTTCAAATTAAATCACGACTACTTTTCTAACAGGGCCTGTGTAAAAATAGTACTAATGAGTTAAAAAATATATATTGCTGAAACGGTTTGTTGGATTGATTTGGTGTCTTCAGCAAAGTTGTAGATATTATTGTGGCAATAATGTTAAAAATATACACTATAAAAAATTTCGTTTGTTTCAATGAAAACAATTATATTTGTTATCAAAAAAGTTAATTTCTCAAAAAGTACATTTTTGAAAATTTTCGTTTTAAACCTTATTGAAGCTCATAATGTTTGCTACAAACTGGTGATGGTAAACTCAAAAACAAAAAAGGTAGGATTTTTTGAAAATTTACATTTTTATTAAAAACACATGTTTTTTAACCGTGTATATTTTTTCAAGAATCGCATTTTTATTTTGCACAACTTTCCCGAAGACACTATAGCAATCAAGCAAGCCGTTTTTGCAATGTATTAAAATGTTTATTTTATAAGCGCTTTTCTACACAGGCCCTATTGGAAAAGTAGTCGGGGTTCGCTACCCCGACTACCCCGAAGTGAAAAATTATTAATTTTATCGTTATTGCCTTATTCATGGTCAACACAAAAAGTTATGGATCAATTTAATGCTAGTAGATATATTGCAACAGAGGCAAAGTTGATAAAGGAAGGTCATTCGTCAAAAACCGCAAAATATGGCACAGCCTTAAGTGATGAAACAAAATTGGCAGTCATAATTTTTTTTTGAAGATGATGATATAAGCCGGGCAATGCCTGGTCAAAAAGATTATGTGTCTGTGCAGAAAGAAAGAAAACGACAAGCCATTCAAAAAAGATTACTAATGATGACTATGAGAGAAGCTTATAAACGATTCAATGAAATTCACTGCAATGTAAAAATTGGATTCTTTTCATTTGCAAAAATCCGCCCTAAGCAATGTAAACTTTTAACCAGCACTGGAATCCACAATGTTTGCGTGTGCACAACGCATGAAGACATCAATCTAATTTTACACAGTTTGAAAAAACTCAACCATTTGAATAATGTAAAAACGTACACTGACAGAATACTTTGTGAAAACATGACAACATATTGCTATCTACGGTGTTGTGAAGATTGTCCAGACTCTTCCGCATTAGAAAACATTTTTATTAAAACAACAGCTTTCATTTGAACAGTGGGTTACTACGGATAGATGTTATTTAGAAACTATTGTAAAGCCTGCAGACGAGTTTGTTTCATTTTTCTGCTTGAAATTGACAAGTTTGATACCACATGATTTCATAAAAACACAGCAATCTAATTTTTTGAAAATTACACGAAATAATTTGGAAGAAGGTGAATTTTTAGTTACTTGCGATTTTTCCGAAAACTACAGCTTTGTGTTACAGGATGAAGTTCAGTCTCATCACTGGAATGTCCAACAAGCTACCATTCATCCATTTGTTATATATTTTAGAGAAAATATGCAAGTTAAACATTTAAGTTTTATTATAATTTCTGAAGAGTTAAGGCATGACTCAGTGCCTGTTAACTTATTTATTTCTAAAATGATAAGTTTTTTACGCATTAACCAAAGTAAAAATATCAACAAGCCGCGGCACAATACAAGAACCGGAAAAAATTTGCTAGCCTTTGTAAATTTAAATCAAAGTATGGAATTGAAGCCGAATGGCATTTCTTTGCAACATCACATGGGAAAGGTCCTTGTGACGCTATTGGAGGTACAATAAAACGCATGGCTACTAGAGCAAGTTTGGCCAAAGAACGTGAACAGTCAATAAAAAATGCAAGAGAGCTTTATAATTGGGCAAATAATCAAAAAGAAGGAAAATTAACAAAATTATCATTTAGTTTTGCCACAACAGAGGAATACGAAAGTATGGCTTCACACCTCAACGAGCAATATAATAATGCAAAAATAATTCAAGGAACTCAAAAGTTTCATTCTTTCATTCCTGTTTCAGAAAATGAAATTAAAACCAAACGTTACTCAAACTGTAATGATAATGATGCCAAAATATTCGATGTATTTAATAAGTGATGTAAATAAAAATAGAAAGTATGTGTATTACAATGAAAATAAATTATGTATCATCTGTCCATGAGGTTTCCGAATAAAAAAAAGTAAAAAAGTGCAGAAAAATGTATTTTGTGGATTTAAGTTGAAATTTGAAAATAAAAAAGTAGTTGGGATTCGCTATTACAAATTGTAATAGCGAACCCCGACTACTTTTCCAATAGGGCCTGTGTAGAAAAGCGCTTATAAAATAAACATTTTAATACATTGCAAAAACGGCTTGCTTGATTGCTATAGTGTCTTCGGGAAAGTTGTGCAAAATTAAAATGCGATTCTTGAAAAAAATATACACGGTTCAAAAACATGTGTTTTTAATGAAAATGTAAAAATCGTAAAATTTTCAAAAACCATAACTTTTTTGTTTTTGAGTTTACCATCACCAAACTTTGTCAGTTATTAGCAAACATTATGAGCTTCAATGAGGCTTAAAACGAAGATTTTTAAAAATGCGCTTTTTGAGAAATTGACTTTTTTAATAATAAATATAATTTTTTTCATTGATACAAACGAAATTTTTTACAGTGTATATTTTTTACACAATTGCCAAAATAATATCTACAACTTTGCTCAAGACACCAAATCAATCGAACAAAGCGTTTCGGCAATATATATTTTTAAACTCATTAGTACTATTTTTACACAGGCCCTTTTCAAAAAGTAGTCGTAATTCAATATGAAAAACTGAGAGCACAAAATGGCGCCTTTACTAAAAAGGAACAACTGTGCAAAGTTTCAGCGTAATTGGAAATGATCGGTCAGGATCGATTTGCGAACCTTCGTGGAATGCCTCACGTTAAGTTAAGCTATGCTCGTAGTTAGGAAGGTTTTCACTTTTTCCAATTCAAACAAAACACACCCCCAAAGGGGTATTCTGTAAACTAGTTGAAAAACGCAAATATTAAATTAAAATATCAAATTTAAAAAAAGATGAAGAGCCAGGTAGGCTAATCATTTAAAATCTTAACTCAATGTACTATCACAATCAACAGAAATAAACATAATTTTACTACTACTACAAAGCATCCCTGTGTGGCTATCTTGAATCAATACCGCAATTCAAGAGTGTAAGCTAAAACCACCTAAAACTGTCGTTAATTCGAATTTTGGTCGTAGTCGTAAAAAGAGGATGGAGTGTACTATTTAGGGTGTAAATTTATCAAATACTAGCTGAGTGTGCCCGGTCTTGCTCGGGATTCAATATTAGCTTGAGTTTATGCGCCGATTTAAAAAAAGCTTGCTATATTGTACGTAGCCCCCCCCCCCCCCTATTATCTAAGGGGCTACCCCCTATGATTATCTCCTTATACCCCCACACTCGCCCCCACATGCCTAATTTGGTTCCATTTGCTTGATTAGTTCTCGAGTTATGCAGAAATTTCTGTTGCATTTGTATGGGAGCCCCCCCTTACAGAAGGGGGAGGGGTCTCGAACCATCATAAGAACCTTCCACGGCCCCAAAAACCCCTGTATACAAATTTTCACGCCAATCGGTTCAGTAGTTTCCGAGTCTATAAGGGTCAGACAGACAGAAATTCATTTTTATATATATAGATAGATAGATAGATACCTAGATAGATAATATAATTTTTGAAAAAAATAATAATTTAGAATATTTCCAGAAAATGTTAATCCGACAATCGAGGCATACCAAAATTGAGATCCAACTCACTCTTCCTGTTTGCCGTCCTACTGCAAAGCGTAGCGATGTTAATGAATGTACGAGAGAGCCACCTCACACTGCCGATTAATAGACAACCCCTCAACCCAAACTACTCACCCGTATTCTGCAGCTCCCGGATCTGCGCCTCCAGGCTTTCCTGCTCCTCCAACAGCTTGCGCTGATCCTCATCGCTCTCCATATCCTCCCTCTCCTCCAGCTCGTCACAGCTGGACAGATTGATTTCGGACCGTACCAAAGGCCGTTTGCCGACAACCGAGATCGCGACACCATCGCCCCCACCTTCCTCTCCCGTTCCCAGACACTTTTCGTAAAGATTCTGGATCGTCGACGAAACCATATTGGTCTGAATGTTCATATCGACCTTGTTCAACTGGGATGTGGTGTCCTCTTGGTGATGCACAACTTCTTCTACTTTTTGGCTCGTATTCGATTCATCAACCACCACTACCGTAGTGGGAGGTTTCGACTTTAATTTCTCGTTCCGTAGGAACTCTTTGTGCAACGTCTTCAATTTCAGCCCAGTGAGGTCAGATTTTTGCCTACTCACCGTTGGACCATTCATCATCGGTGGTTTGGGAAGGGTGCTTTGAGCTGTGCAACCATTCGGGGCGATCTTTTTCGTTGCAGCTGGAGCAGTTGTGGGACGCTTCGCTAGAACAGTAGATACCGGTTTAGTTGGCGGAACCGCAGATTTAGCACTCCCAACCGTTGTCGTTGTTGGCTTGGGCTTCAAATCTGGTGGTGCCTTTGATGCCACTAAAACCGGTTTAACCATCCCCGGGTCCACTTTCGACTGCTTACATACATTTTCAGTGGAATCTTTCCTATCATTTTCTTCAGCATTACCATTTTCATCCAGCAAAGAGAGCGTTGGCAGACTAGCATAACCACTAGGTTGATTGAAACGTGTTGCCCAATGAAGGCTCGATCGTCGCTTCGTTTTGACCGTGTACCAACCGTCATTGTTGGCAACATCCGACGGGAGACTCTTCGGTTCCGACCGTCTGCTCGTGACTGGCCCATTCTGAACTCGGCCCTTTGAGGAATCCGCAATGGAGTTCCTCGAACCTAATCGATCCGTGCTAGCTTTCAGAGTTGAGCTGGAACTATCGACATCTTCTCTGGATGTTTTGCGGGAAAATGATAGCTTTGAAGATAGCGGTACCGCTTTGCTTTCACTCTTTCGATTATTGATTTCGATCATAGTTTTCGATCGAGTTGAAAGCCGAGATGAAACATTCGATGGAATGGTTTTGCTTCTCACTGGGTTCACGATTGGGCGAGCACTCGGTTTCGAACCGACGGAATGGATGTTTGAAAGGGTTGCGCTCTTCACTGGCAGCGCAACGGTCTTCGTTTGACTCTGATTTAGACTAGATAAGGTAGCCGATTTGCGAACGTTCGGAGCAGATCGGACCACCTTGGGGGGCACCGTTCTCGATGGCAACATTACCTTGTTTTGTCCAGTAGGACCGGCTGGACGAGCCGCAGGTTTGGCAACACTGTTTACCACTGTTGCATACTTTGTGGCAGGTGATACTTTCTTCACTAATGCTTCAGGAGCCTTCACCACGTCTGCGAGTTTGTTTTCATCATTTGGTGCATTTTCTGCACTTTTCGTCTCTTCCGGATTATCTGCCTTCACTTCTTCTTCCTTCACATCTTCACTTATTAGTTCCTCTTTCTTGCAGTACTTTTCCAGATATTCCGCCAACGTTAAATTTTCGTCATCCAAATTAGTCTGGGTGTACTGGTCGAGTTTCAGCACGTAACTCTCTAGATTGCTACAGCCAATTGGATGTTCACTTTCGCCAACTTGGGGCGGTGCCTTTGCTGCCTCATCCAACACACCACTGTTCTCGATCGTGACCGTGGATTGCTTCAGTAGGTCTTTGACGTTCATCTTTCCAAGGCCACTCTTTTTGGTACTGAGACTCTCCGTCGAACTGAAGTGCTTCTTTGGAGAGTACTTGTTGAGTTCATCCGGGGCGTGACTTGGACTGTTCTTGCCGGAAAAACTAGGGCTCGATTTGCCGGATACTCCCGGACTGGAGATGGGTTTACGGACACCTGGAAAAAAGAAAACCGGTTAGGTCATTCGGTTAAGAGAATAAATTTAGGAAATTTGTATAGAAACTGAAGTCGAAATAGTCTGCATCTAGTAACGGATAATACAGTAAGGGATAATACTAAAAATCGAATAAATGAGAACTGCCTTACTCGGGGACTCCTAATTGTCAGCAAAGGCACGCTGTGCTATACTATGTCGGAGGCGGTGAGTTTAATTGTCGGTCGAGACAAGAAATGTTTCGGCGGGTTGAAAATCTCTAATCTGAAATCTTATAGAAGCTATTGTTTCGGTTTTCTTTGTTCATTACCTGCTGCAGCTCAGTCGATTTTGTCAATACCGTTGAAAGCAATATTTTTGTGATGAGTGTTGAAGTGAAGCGTACGATTGACTTCCATTTCCCCAACTTACAGGGTTGTGAAGGAGAAAGCACTTTTGATAAAGTTCGTAGGTTGGAAGAAAGTATGCTTTATGCATTGATTTAATTTTCGATTGGGTGAATGTATCACTGAGGAAACTAGAACTACGATTTTCATAATATTTTCGTATGAACGGTCGTTTTGAACTTTGGAAATTATTTCATACGACAACGTATGGTTTCTATAGCATGCTTATGCAAATTACATGCCTCAATGATGAATTCCATACGAAACGCATCAACATGTCATACGAGGCTGCAATGAACTTTATTAATTGATCTTTTGTGGAAAAAGCATAAGTTGTTGGAGACAACTACCTAGCAAAGTATCCCTACTACTTCGTACGCCGCACGCTATGTCTGAAGGCACTTTTTTTTACAACATTCATGTACCTCAGTTTTTTTATGACAGGAAGTAAGAATGGATCTTAACAATCAAATCAGTAATGGTTTGAAAATATTTCATCTTGGGTTTTTTGAGAAAAAGTATTTTGAATTATACTTAGTCGTTTATGAAAGCGTAAAAGGTGATACGGTCAAAATGTGGTCAAGGGAAAACGCGTGTAAATCGGTGAAATCGTTTATTTAAAAAATCAAATTAAATTTCTTTTTCAAGTTCAATTAGTATAAAATTCAGGAAAAATATTCAGTTAGGCTTCCGCTTTTCCAAATCCGAATTGCCGGGCCTTACGCTTGACCCCTGCCATCAGATTTTGTACAGCCACCTTGTCCACCTTCTTCGCCGCAGAAAGCCAGTTTGCCTTGAACTGCTGCTCGCCCTTAGCAGTTTTTTTGGTCTTCTTTAGGTTCCGCTTGACAATAGCCCAGTATTTCTCAATTGGGCGGAGCTCTGGCGTGTTGGGAGGGTTCTTGTCCTTGGGAACCACCTGCACGTTGTTGGCGGCGTACCACTCCATGGCCTTTTTACCGTAATGGCAAGATGCCAAATCCGGCCAAAACAGTACGGAACAACCGTGTTTCTTCAGGAAAGGCAGCAGACGTTTATTCAAACACTCTTTCACGTAAATTTCTTGGTTGACAGTCCCGGAAGCTATGAAAATGCTGCTTTTCAAGCCACAGGTACAGATGGCTTGCCAAACCAGATATTTCTTTGCGAACTTTGACAGTTTCATGTGCTTGAAAACATCTGCTACCTTTCCCCTTCTTTTTGCCGTATAAAACTCCTGTCCCGGAAGCTGCTTGTAGTCGGCTTTGACGTAGGTTTCGTCGTCCATTAAAACGCAGTCAAACTTCGTCAGCATCGTCGTGTACAGCCTCCGGGATCGCGCTTTGGCCGTCGTATTTTGTTTATCATCGCGATTTGGAGTCACTACCTTCTTGTAAGTCGATAGTCCGGCTCGTTTTTTGGCTCGATGCACGGTTGTAGACGATACACCCAGCTTATTTGCGGCATCTCGGAGAGAGAGGTTAGGGTTTCGCTTGAAACTACCGGCAACTCTCTTTGTCGTCTCAGCGGCTTCCGGTTTTCGATTTCCCCCCGATCCAGACTTCCTGGCTGTCGACAAACGTTCCCCAAACACTTTAATTACATTTGTAACGGTTGATTTGGCAACTTTTAGCGATTTTGCCAACTTTGCGTGCGAGTAGCTCGGATTTTCGCAATGCGCGAGCAAAATTTTGATACGCTGCTCTTCTTGCTTGGACGGCATTTTGACAACTGAAGAGTGAATTCCAAAATCAAAATAGGAGCAACATTCTACACACACACACCTTCAAAATGAGGGGTGTTCAGGTTTTTTAAATGCAAAATTGAAAGAAATACGTCAAGTTGATATTGACCAAATTTTGACCGTATCACCCTTTATATGGACCATTGACGATACAAAACCGTTACGGATCGAAACAAATACAACTGAATATGATTGTTGGAGATTAAGGTAGTCAAAATACTTCGTTTCAATGGCATAGTAAAATTTCCTCTTCGGTACCGTAAGATGTCGTAACTTTGTCGTGAACTCATAATGTTTAAAATGATAAAATAATTTACAATGAAGAGAATAAACTAAATTTACTTTAATTATCAGTTCCATCTGTTTCATCCATTCTTATCAATGCTTAAATAAATATCTAAAGAGAATGATAAAATAAACTTGGAGCTGCATAGATAAGGAGATTACTTCAAATGAGCACTAAATACTATACGATACCAGCGCTTTCATCAAGTTTTTGTCGTATCTGAAATTATTTTCCACTGCTTTATAGATACTCCATGTTTGGGAAAAATCATTATGAACAACTTCCTTTTTTTCCGTGAACCAGGCTAAGACTTATCCTGTACTCTTGCAAAAATCTATAATGTGATATTTTACAATATTGAATTTTGGGGCTACCGGAAGGTTTCGGTAGACCAACTTTCACATAAAAGACCTATGCACTCATCCATGAGTTCATCACCAAAACAATGTCTCATCATAGCATCCATGTTATCCAAAACCATTAGCTGATGATCAAAATTGCATCCTTCCAAAACTACACGTTTATCAAGTACCTACAATGGCGACCAGCGAGTCCAAATTTCGCATGATGAGTCGCATTTGCAGCAGCCACAGAATTTGAAGCGCTATTTTGAGATCATTATTGGCCGCGTTGTCTTTCGTCATAGCTGATTTGAGACCGGGCTGGATAGTTTGACGGTCGGTATGTCTCATACGTTGAGCCAATTTTAGCGTATGTAACATAATACAAATATAGTGTAAAGTTATGTACATACTGACCTTATTAACACTCGGATTAAGATCTTTCTTAAAGATGAGTAAATCTTCGTGAGAGATTTTTTACCATATTTACATTTCTTTGATGGACTTTCAGTAGGCCGATTTGATAGCACATCCCGCCCCTGCTGCCACCCTGCTCATGCCGTTGATCTCATTTCATAAAGGAAGTGTAAAAGAGAAAGAGATATCGCAACAAATTCTCTCTATCATACCTGTTTTCTAAGACATGGAGTGGGAGTTGTTCCACCAACGACCCGATGAGACAGCTGATAGAAGTTAAATACATTCAAATTCATATCCCTGTCCATTTGGTTTTTCCTTGATTTCATTGAACTTCGATGAAATTCTTCATTTTTTTCTGATGTTCTTAGAACTTTTTTTAAGTTCTCAGAACGTCTCTGAGTCTTGTGTGTCGTAGAACTTATCAGAAGGACATTGAACTCCCATGAAGCTCACAAAACGTCCCAAAAGTTGGCAGAATTTTCCTGAAGTTTATAGAGCTTCTCTGAAGATCGAAGCACATCTTTAAAGTTTGAAGAATTTTCCAGAACTGAGATCGATGAACTTCTCTGAAGGCTGTTAAACTTCTCTGATTATTTTGAGGAACGTTTTTAACTTTTCTAACTTAATAAAGTCGCTGAGCCTTCCTGAAAGTTTCCTTAGACAAAATATGGGAACTGCAATGAAGTTCTAGCAATTCTGTAGTAATTAAAGGTGAATGCTACCTTAACTAACTGGGAAAGAGCAGCTAATATCATGTGAGTTTCATTCCTGTATTATCGGCATTATCTGTTAACCGAACTTCGTCATGGGTTCCAAAAATCCAAACTAATTTTCTATCCCTCAGGGTTGTAAATGCCACCTTCGTCACCAGCTGAGTACGGGACACAAACATTTCAGATACCTACTAACTCTTTTATTGAACTTTGATAAAAATCTTTCAACGAACGTCGCTACTAAAGTAGCGTGATTTTTTTTTTTTTTTTTTGACAATCGCTTTTCGAAGCACAACAACCGAACTCTCTATTTTCTTCGAGAGATTCAAAAAACACTCGAAACAGGCACAAAATCAATGCCTACTATGATTACGTGGCTGTCTTGGACTGTCCTGCTCGTTTATTTCTCTTTTACTCTTATGAGGGAAGAAAAATTAAACAAGAAGTTGTTCTAGCAACAAATATTAATTGATTTTGCGCAAAGTCGACGTAACCAATACGTATCTTGCTTGAGAGTCAAAGAGAACTCTTTAATGCCATTTGGATTAATTCAATCAACTTTTGAACCTGATTTAACTGCATTTGTTCAATTTGCAATAGTTTTGTATCGTCAATAGTCCAATATACGCCTTCGTTATCGGCGTTGTAAACTTCAAAACACTATTTCTCAAAAAATCCAAGATGAAATATTTTCAAACCATCACAGAGTTGATTGTTAGGATCAATACTAACATCCTGTGAAGAAAAAACTGAGGTACATGAATGTTGCAAAAAAAGTGCCTTCAGACATAGCGTGCGCCGCTGGGCTCGTACGTGGCAGCTTCGACTGCGATGTCATGATGCGCATCGACACACACAAACATAAAAATAGTTGTCACCAGATAAATGAATAAAGTTGGATCAGTTCTTGTTTACTTTTATTACGTTAACATGCGTTTTAACATTCCGGTTCCAATATCACGCGGAAGTTGAACAATAGATTTCAATCAGAATGGCGCCGTCGGACATGATCTCCAACAGTCGGTGAATATGTCGCCGGGCCAGCAACAACAACAGTAGCAGCAGCAGATTCCGTTCTTACGTACACCGCAACTGCACTTCAGATCGATCCCGAGATGTACCGGTTCCAGCAG